TTCCTTTGACACGCCTGGGCTTCCTGCCTCGGCCGCTGCCTTCACATCAAGACCCCACTTTGGAAGGTCCTTCCCCAATCACGCACTCCCTTTCAAGACGTGTTCATGCTCCTTCCTATTTGTGACACCGCATTTCCGCCTCGAGACAGAGGTGAATGTGGCCCCTCGTGTGCATTGGACGCGATTCCTTTCAGTGTATGTCTGGTCTGCAACCAGACCCGATTCTTTTGCCTCCGTGGGCCTACGCTCCTGATCATGCATAACGTCTGTCAAAAGAAGTATGAAAACTTTGTTCCAAAATACTTGGGGCGGCCAGGTGTCAGTTCAGAGTCAGACTTCAGCTCAGCTCATGATTTCATGGTTCTGGGTTTGGGCCCCGCATCGGCTCTGAGCTGATAGCATGGAGCCTCTCTGGGTTCTCTGGAAGCGGGTCGCTTCCGGGCGTGGGAGGATTTGTGTCTGCCTGCCTCCGTTGTGTGGTCGCTTTTCCGAGTCCGAGCTGGTGCCCGCGGCCGGCACTGCCCTGCTGGTGGCTCCCACCCTCCGTGCACCGCAGGCGGCTGCCCCTCCCGGTTAGCCAGGCAGGGTCCCGGGTAGCGTGTGGCCCTGGGACGGAGCGACCGTCCGTGCTGGGCGTTCAGTGGCACTGTAAAATGCTGGCGGGCACAGCCCTTATCCTGTGCTGCCCGCACAGACTTCAAGTCTGCCCTTCCCAAGTTCAAGCCTAATCAAGCCGAGCTGCTGTGAGACGTCTGGCGGCGAGGGGGGTGTGTGGCATGTTTTCAGGGCTGCTTTCTCTTTTACAGCCGCTTTCCCCAGGGGCACGATAACTATCAAAGAGAAACTTTCTCTTGGCGAGGAAGCCCAGGGTGGGGTGCAGGGGGGGAGGGTAACACCCCAGCTACTTTGTCTCCCAAACCCAGACCTGTGTTTTCTGGGAAGTGTAGGTGGAGTGTGGTCAGGGCGGGCGGAGGAGGCCCTGGAATGCAGTCTGCCCTTACACAGGAGACACTTGACAAGTCTTCGCCCACGAGAGGAAGGAATGTGTTGGTCTCCGGGTGAAGCCAAAGTGGGTGACAGGTCTCTGAGGTGTCCCCTCCAGGGCGCGCTGCCTTAACAAGTGTCCTGAGACCCTGCAGGTCATTAGTCACAGCGGTTTTGCCTAAAGATGCTCTCTCGTGGTACTCGGCTTCAAGATAGTCACTGGAGGGAGGACACTTAGGTTCCTACCTCAGGGTCAGAATCTTTCCTCATCAGGCACAGAGGCACGTGTGACTTTTATGATGCTAAATGCGTCTCACAAAAACTTACCATTGTAACCACTTGAGAATGTGTGATCCAGGGGCGCCTGCGTGGCTCCGTCGGTTACGTGTGGACTCCTCGTTTCAGCTCAGGTCATGATCTTACGTTTCGCGTGTTCAAGTCCCGTGTGTTCTGTGCTGACAGGGAGGAGCCGGCTTGGGCCTCTCTGTCTCTCTCCCTCTGAATAAATGAACTGAAAAACGCTTCTGTTCTGTGGCTTCTTCCCGGTCCCTGGCCCTTGCGTGTTCCAACGTGTCTCCAGAATGCTCTCCAAAATGCACATCCTTCAAGGCTGCACCTAATACTGGTTTTTTTATTTATCTATTTTGAAACAGAGAGAGAGAGAGAGAGAGCATGAGCAGGAGAGGGGCAGAGACAGGGAGAGAGAAAGAGAATCCCAAGCAGGCTCCGCACCTCCAGTGCAGGACTCAGACTCATGCACTGTGCGATCATGACCTGAACGGAAATCAGGACTTGGATGGTTAACTGAGTGGGCCACCCACGTGCCCCCAGGTCTGCATTTTAAACCCTGGGAGATTTATGTGCATATTACAGTTTGGGAAGCATTGGTCCATGAGCCTAGAAATGTCTTCGAGGTGAGAACTACATTTTGCAAGACCCACCCTCCAGTATCTAGCAGTTTCTGGTGCATAGTACTTGCTGAGGAGATACTTATTAAAAGAATAAATGCAAACTCTGAACTCACCCACAGGATGGCTCTCAAGCCCTCACACCACCAAAGCATCTATTGGAATTCAGGCAATAGTTTTAGCTACAGTCCCAAGCCACTATCTGCGTATGTTCTGTGTTCTAGATTTTGCCCTCCAAATTGGGTACTTAGTGCTTGAGAGGAGAGGTGGGAGGAGATGACTCCTTGAATGACATGCCTTGAGGGTCTGCAGCCTCCGGGTCCCTGTTTGAGGGACAGGTACTGGTTTGGCCCCCAGCCACCACAGAGCTGCCGCCTCTGGGAGTGCCCCGCCTGAGCGTTGGTCTGCTTCCCCTCAGGGCTTTCCCAGTACAGACAGGGTCCCTGGCCCTCCTCGTCAGGGTGAACTTTGCCGGCACTGCCTTCTGCGATGCTCACCCTGTCTCTTGGATCTCCTGTGCGTTTGTCCCCTCTTTCACTAAAGCTCTAATTGTGGGAGGCCCAGGGTCTCAGTCTCTGTGGTGATCTGCCCATGGCTCTGTCTTCTGTCCAGGCAGCCTCCTTCAGTCTCCCCACCCCTCCAAAGTTTGTGGGGTTTTTTAAGTTTTATTTATTCTTGAGAGAGTGTGGGTATGCGCAAGCAGGGTGGGGCAGAGAGAGAGACAAACAGAAAGGAAGCAGGCTCCAGGCTCAGAGCTGTCAGCACAGAGCCCAACACGGGGCTTGAACTCACAAACCGCAAGATCATGACCTGAGCCACCCAGGTGCGCTGCCCTTCAAATCTTTACTTGCCTTCTGCTCAGGTCACTCCATGGGTAGGTCACCTTTCCCTGGAGACTTCTCCCACAGCCAGCTGCCCACCGGGCCCTCCACCCGGACATCCCCTTGGATGTGTGTGTGCCTCATGCACAGGGCGTGGCAAAAACCCAAGCTCTCCACCGAGAGTCGCCTGCACCTTTACTGCACCTGGTTGAGTGTGTAATCCTGGGCGGGTGGACACTTACCTACGATCTGTCTGTTATTACGTTGGGAGAAAATTGTCTAGACTTTTGAAACCAGTTATTAAGAAAAATATGAAACCATCCATTCAGTTAAGGAGTCGTTGTTTACTTACATTGATGGTGTTGACTGGCCATGAATAATTGCTTGGTTAGCCCAGGAGTTCGGCCGCCCGTGGATTAAGGAGGTTCTAAGAAAGTATCTGTGCTTGCAGAACTGAGGCATGGAAGTTGCTTAGGACCCAGGTGTGTAACCCAGAGGCAGGATGCACTGCTCTACTGCTCTGCGAGGACTTGGTAAGGAATTGTTAGGTTGTGCCTCACAAAGTCGAGCAGTGAACTTTCATACTGTCCACAGATACACTCATAACCGTTAACTTTGTTCACTGCCTTTCCTAGCAGTTTGTAAAGATAATTGCTTTTTGCTATGAAACTGGGGTTGGCAAACTTTGCTTTGTGACAAGCCAAGTAGTAAATATTCTTGGCTCTGTGGGCCAGGCAACTCAGCTCTGGCTTGTACCAATAAGTAAGCAAGTGGGTGTGGTTCTGTTACGGTAACATTTTATTTACAAAAATAAAAAAAGGCATCTGGCTGGATTTTGCTCATGGGCCAGGGTTTGCCAAGCGCTAGCAGAGAAAGCAGGCGCACTTAATTTTTGCTGAATTGATTATTACTGTATGGAAAAAAAACAAAACTAGGTTTAGGATCTAAAGATCAGTATTTCTCCGGGCGCCTGGGTGGCTCATTTGGCTGAGTGGCTGGCTCTTGATTTTGGCTCAGGCCATGATTTCATGGTTCAGGAGTTTGAGGCATAAGTGGAGCTCTGCATTGACATTGTAGAGCCAGCTTAGGGTTCTGCCCTGTTCTCTCTGCCCTTCCCCTGAGTGTCCACTGTCTTTTTCTCTCTCTCAAAATAAATAAGCATTTTTTAAAATGCCACATGTTGTAGGGTTCTTTTTATTTGTTTAGGTGTGCATTTAATTTTTTAAATTTATTTATTTTGAGAGAGAGAGAGAGAGGGAACACAAGTGGGGGTGGAGCAGAGAGAGAGGGAGAGAGAATCCCAAGCAGGTTCCGTGCTGCCTGTGCAGAGCCTGATGCAGGGCTCAGTCTCATGAACCATGAGATCATGACCTGAGCCAAAATCAAGAGTTGGATGCTTAACCCACTGAACCACCCAGGCACCCCATTGTTCATTTATTTTGAGAGAGCAAGACAGAGAGAGACAGAGACAGAGAAACAGAGCATGTGCTTGGGAGGGGCAGAGAGAGGGGGAGAAAGAGAGCATTCCAAGCAGACCCCACACTGTCAGGACAGAGCCCAATGCGGGGCTCGATCCTACAAACCGTGAGATCATGATCTGCGTCAAAAGCAAGAGTCAGACGCTTAACAGAGGCGCCCAAGTGCCCCTTAGGATTGTTTTATGTGAGCTATTGAGGCATAGGCAAATGCATAGAGGCAGGAAGTGGGTTAGTGGCATCTGGGGGGAGGGGATCAGGAGGTGGCTGCTCACTGCTACCAGGTTTCTTCTAGGTGTAGAGAAGTGTTCTAATGCGGCGCGATGGTTGCACAATTCTGTGAATATACTAAAAGCCTGTTCACTTGTATATTTACATGGGTGAGGTTTGTGGTATTTGAAGTCTGTCTCAGTAAAGCAGTTACAGGAAGCTAGGCATGGATGAAGGGACGAGAAATCGTATGTGATAACACAACCCATCATTCTTGTTTGGATAAAGGAAGTCCAGAAAAGGGCCTGGATCTTTAGATCCACCGTTCGGGGTCATGCGTGGTCTGCAGCGCACACACTCTTTCCTGTTCCCTCGGTGAATGTGGCCCCCGTCTTTGCAGAGGCGGTGCTGGCTGACGGATGGGTCTCCCGTTCACCATATAGGAATCCGTGCAGCCGCAGGGCCAGATGGGGTCCTGGCCGGGCCCAGAGCCGGTCATAGAGCCGTGGGCAGCACACGCCACAGGCACGGCGCTCCCGGCCGACTTCTGGGGACTTGCTCTGACTGTTGGGAGGCTCATGGCACGTGGGTCTTTGTTGCAGATTGAAGAAGGAAGTAAAGCTGCAGCAGTGGACAAGTTACTGGCCGGGGACGAGATCGTCGGCATCAACGACATTGGTCTCTCAGGGTTTCGACAGGAGGCGATTTGCTGGGCGAAGGGCTCTCATAAAACCCTGAAGCTGGTGGTGAAAAGGTAAGACCCACACTTCATGCTGTGTTAACACAACAGAAGTGAGTAAAATAGCAAAGGGTGAAGCCAGGTCTGCTGCTCTCTATCACTGCAAGCACATCCCACTTTGGACCTGGGGGAGGGGTGTGTGTGTGTGTGTGTGTGTGTGTGTGTGTGTGTGTGTGTGTCTGGGTCTGGATCCACGTGCATGCGCGTGCATAAACATAAAATTCCATTTCTTGGCCAGGGATGATCCAGCATCAAAAACTTAAAAGATACCTTCTTCTATCACTGTGGATTGTTTATTTGCTATGTTAAATGAATTTGAACGCTCTTTTCTTTCTTTCTTTTCTTTTTTTTTTAACTTAAAGTCAAGTTAGTTAACATACACTGTAGTCTTGGCTTCAGGAGTAGAACCCAGGGATTCATCACTTACATACAACACCCAGTGCTCCCCAACAAGGTCCCTCCTTAGTGCCCATCACCCATTTCCCCTCCTCCCCATCCACCCTCAGTTTGTTCTCTGTATTTAAGAGCCTCTTATGGTTTGCCTCCCTTTCTATTTTTATGTTATTTTTCTTCCTTTCCCCTGTGTTTGTCTGTTGTGTTTTTTTTTTTAACTTTTTTTTTAAATTTATTTCTAGGAGAGAGAGAGAGAGAGAGAGAGAGGGACAGCGTGAGCAGGGGAGGGTCAGAGAGAGAGGGAGTCACAGACTGAAACAGGCTCCAGGTTCTGAGCTGGCAGTCAGCACAGAGCCCGACGCGGGGCCCGAACCCACGAACTGCGAGATCATGACCCAAGCGAAAGTCGGACGCCCAACCGACTAAGCCACCCAGGCGCCCCATCATCTGTTGTGTTTTTTTAAATTCCACTTATGAGCGCTATCATATGATGTTTGTCTTTCTCTGATTGACTTATTTTGCTTAGCATAATACCTTCTAGTTCCATCCACACTGGTGCAAATGGCAGGATTTTATTCTTTTTCTTCACTGAGTAATATTCCATTATATACGTACACCACATCGTTGTTATCCATTCGTCAGGTGAGGGACATTTGGGCTCTTTCCATACTTGGGCTGTTGTTGATATTACTCCTATAAACGTTGGGCTGCATGTGTCCCTTTGAAACTGTACCCCAGTATCCTTTGGATAAATACGTAGTAGTGCAATTGCTGGGTTGTAGGGAAGTCCTATTTTTAATTTTTTGAGGCACCTCCACATTGTTTTCCAGAGTGGCTGCACCAGTTTGCATTCCCCCAGCCGTGCAGCATCTGTCGTTTCTGAGTGGTTACGTTTAGCCACCCTGGCCAGTGTGAGGTGGTATCTCATTGTGGTTTTGATTTGTATTTCCCTGATGGGGAGCGACATTGAGCATCTTTTCATGTGTCTGTCAGAATGCTCTTCTTCTTTCTTCAGCAACATGTAGAGGATTCTCTCAGAGCTGCAGGGATGCTTCAGGTGAGGTGCTGTGACCTCTTGCTTCCACAAGGTGGCGGGCGACTGCATTTTCGGCTTTATGCTGACACCCAAGGACCTCCTGAAGACTTGTTGGCTCCAGGGCTTTCCAGGGATGTGCTGAGGTCTGGGGCAGGCGAGCACACTGCCTGCTCCTGGAAATCAGATTGCCGTCAGAAGTTTGGAGGACTTGAAGCGCATAGAAGACTAGAATGAGGGACATAATGTTTTTATGCACGGGAGCTACCCTTATCCCCTGTAAAGGCAACATGTGATTCCTTGTCTTCAAACAGAAGTAATTCTCTACCTTGCATTTTGTACGTGGCTAATTCACACTAAAGTATTTGCCGCTCCTCCTTTTTTTTTTTTTTTTTTTTAATGTTTTATTTATTTCCAGGAGAGAGAGACAGCGTGAGCAGGGGAGGGTCAGAGAGAGAGGGAGTCACAGACTGAAACAGGCTCCAGGCTCTGAGCTGGCAGTCAGCACAGAGCCCGACGCGGGGCTCGGACCCACGAACCGCGAGATCATGACCTAAGCGAAAGTCGGACGCTTAACCGACTAAGCCACCCAGGCGCCCCTGGGCTTTTAAAGTGTTTAGTTTTGGGGGCGCCTGGGTGGCTCAGTCAGTTAAGTGTCCAACTTTGACTCAGGTCATGATCTCACGGTAGGTGGGTCCGAGCCCCGCATCGGGCTCTGTTCTGACAGCTCAGAGCCTGGAGCCTGTTTCAGATTCTGTATCTCCCTCTCTCTCTCTGGCCCTCCCCTGCGCTCGCTCTCTCTCTCTCTCTCTTTCAGAAATAAATAAAACATTAAAAAATTTTAAAAAAAAGAAAGAAAGCAAAATTAGTGTATTGTTTCAAACTTGTCTCTAACTTTTAAAAAATAAATGGACTCGGGGCACCTGGGTGGCTCAGTCAGTTACATGTCTTACTTGAGCTCAGGACATGATCTAACAGGTTTGTGGGTTTGAGCCCCACGCTGGGCTCTGTGCTGACTGCTTGGAGCCTGGAGCCTGCTTTGGATTCTGTGCCTCCCTCACTCTTTCTCCTTCTCTCCCGAGCTCACTTGTGCACTCTCTCCCTCAGAAGCAAGTGAAGAAACATTTCTTAAAAGTGTTTAAAAAAATAAAGGGACTCAAGCATTTACGTCAGTTGTTAGTACAAGTCGACTTGAAAGCCTATTCCCAAAAGATTTCACTCCTTTTGACTGAAACCATAACCAAGGAGGAGGCTCAGAAACAAGGAGGGAAAAAAAAAAAAACACCTCTAATTTGTTGCCACACTGAATTAACACTTCATTTGCAAGTGGTACAGACTGTCCTGTCTGTAAATCAGAGATAAACTCTTAGATGGGCAGTTCGGGAGCACCTTGGAGAGGATGAGACAGGAGAGGTGCTGTCATATTGTGGAGTTATTCCTTTGTGGTCACGGTAATGGCCTTTCCCAGGTGGGCCTGTGTTCTCCTAGGATTCAGTGGCACGTAGAGCCGTAATAATGACAGCAGGGAAGCTGGCTCCACAGAGCTGGGCCGGCTGCCAGAAACCATCTTGGGGAGTGCTTTCCAGCTCCTCGGCTCACAGACGCTGCCCTCTCTGGTCTCCTGTGGGAGTCTGTGGGGTCACTTGAAAATGAGCCAGTAGGGTTTTTTTTTTAATGTGTATTTATTCTTTTTTTGGGGGGGGGGGGAGAGGGGCAGAGAGAGAGAATCCCAAGCAGGCTCCTCTGTGCCAAAGCAGAGCCCGACGCGGAGCTCAAACCCACGAACTGTGAGATCATGACCTGAGCTGAAGCCAAGAGGCAGACACCCAACCGCTGAGTCCCCCGGGCACCCCCTGAGATGATAGGTTTGAACCGTCACGTTGGCGGAGAGCTGACAGGTAGCAAGGCCCCTTGTTGGCGAGATTGTGGGGAAACAAGCATGTATTTGGTGCAGTGCCGATTGGATATAGATTGGACACACTTTCTGGTGAGTAGTCAGATGACATGTTTCCAAAGGCAGATCTTAGGCCCACAATTTTCGTTTCTGGGGTCCTAGATCCTCAGCAAAGGGAAATGACTGAAGTGAATTAGAGGCCATCCAAACTGTAAAGCGCTGCTATCACAAATGACGTCAGCATTTCCTGACATGGAAGACGCCCCACCAGGTGCACGTGAGTGGAACACATAAGAGCAGTCAGAGAACTGCGTACGTCCCGCTCTTCCAAGGTTGGGTTGTTTGTTCCTTAAGCGCACTTCACGCCCAGCACGGAGCCCAGCACCGGGCATGAGACCAGGACCTGACTGAGATCAAAGTCAGGCCTTGAAGGGGACACCTGGGTGGCTCAGTCGGTTAGGTGTCTGACTTCGGCTCAGGTCGTGAACTCAGGGTTCATGAGTTCGAGCCCCATGTCGGGCTCTGTGCTGACAGGTTGGAGACTGGAGCCTGCTTCATATTCTGCGTCTCCCTCTGTCTCTCTCTGCCCCTCCCCGCCCCTCAAAAATAAACAGTAAAAAAAAGTCAGACCTTTAACCCACAAAGCCACCCAGTTTCCCCCTGTTCTTAGTTTTAATTTTTGAAAATCTTGTGGTACAATACACATAATAAAAAATTTACCCTCAGAACCATTTTTAAGTGTATATTTAAGTAACATATTATTAATTTTATATTACCTTATATTATTATACTTAAAAATTACTTTCATAACAATAAAAACTTAGTATTTTTAAAGCTTATTGCATTTTTAAGTTTTTAGATTAAAATTTATTTTTCTTATTTAAAAACTTTTTTAAAAAATGTTTTAATATTTATTTTTGACAGAGAAAGAGTGCTCACGGGTGAGCAGGGGAAGGGCAGAGAGAGAGTCTGAAACAGGCTCCGGGCTCCGAGCTGTCAGCACAGAGCCCGACGCAGGGCTTGAACCCACAAACTTCTGAGGTCATGACCTGAGCCGAAGTTGGACGCCTAACTGACTGAGCCACGCAGGTGTCCCTAAAAAATTTTTAAGTTAAGTTTATTTTGAGAGAGACAGAGACGGTGCAAGTGGGGGAGGGGCAGAGGGAGAGAGAGAATCCCAAGCAGGCTCCACACTCTCAGCACAGAGCCCAGCACAGGCCTTGAACTCACGAAACCATGACATCATAACCTGAGCCTAAAGCCAAGAGACAGACACTATAACCGACCGAGCCCACCAGGTACCCCAGCTCATTGCATTTTTAAAGAGAAAGAGCTTTTGGGGTTCCATGTGCCTGTGCTCCTACGAGTCAGCAGGAGGGTGGGTCCCCAGGAAACCATCCACTGTGACATCATGTTCTGTCCTAGGCAGTGCCCCAGATGAGGTCCCTTTGTTGCTCTGTGATCAGGACAGAAGGAAGGACCCTAGGAAGGTGGCTGTTGGGATGCCGGCTACAATATACTCTAAAGCTAACTTTTTATTCTGCACTTACTCAGTTCTTAAAGTGATAACCGGGGCACAGGTGAGCACCCAGGCTCAGAAGGGCGCAGAGCGGACCGGGTACTGCGCCTCTGTTTGGCCTCTCCGGGCACCAGCACTGTCCTGCTGATCTTTTGGGCTTTGTGGGTCACATACGT